GATTCTCCTTCAAAAACAGAACATCCCTTTGTCTTGCCTTGGCTGCCAGTGCATAGAGCCACAATTGCCTCATCCAAAGCACAGCATCATTCCAGGCCAGCTCACGAAGGGAGTCCGACAAGTTCTCCAGCGCAAAACGTTGAGGCCCCGTTCGAGCTCTCAAAGGTGGTGGCCCTGGCTGGCGAAACTGTAACTTCGAAACAGTTCTGCATGGTGGGCCTCCCAGCAATGCATCAACAGTACCCTTCTCGCACAGCTCCGCCAGAAAGCTAGTCAGCTGGTCCGACAGAAGGTCTTGAGCGGGATCAACCATCTTATCCACGCAAAGGACTGCCCTCGACGATGTTTCCAGCCTTTTCTTCCACCACGCTTGATCTGGGCCAGAGAACAGGTGCACAATCACCTGAGTCACACGACATGAGGCGCTTTCTTTGATGCCGATTCAGAGGGACCTGATCAGCTGACCACTTGCCTGAGGGTACCACCCGTGCCAACAATTCATCTGGAACTTCAGGCCACATAGTACGAAGATCGGTCAACCAGCGCCAAATGTTGGGGGAAAGATCTCCTGGGTCACCAGCCTTCAAAGCACTCACCCTCCGATCCACCTCCATCTCTTGCTCCTCCAACTCTTGAATCAATCGGTGAGCAGTCTTCAAGTCCACCGTCGGACAACCTGACTCCAGCTGCACCTCAAGCTTTGTGCCACCAGGATCAACCAGCTCAAACTCCTCCGCCTCCCACGTGACCTTGTACCCCATCCTCACAATCTTCCCAAGGGCACAATGAGCTGTGTGTCAAAGTCTGTGACCAAGGTACCCGTTGTTCTCACCTGACGAAGGGTCGCCACCCCAGCAGCGAGCTCCACCTGGATAGGTACAGCTTGATCGAATTCTTCCTTGTTCTTGGCTGGCCGAAGGATATGAGTTGCTCCTCCGTCAAGTAGTGCTCTGGTGTAGCCCTTGCCCTTATTCACCGAGCAAACTGACACAGCCTTGATGGATGGGCGCAACGACTTCAAAAGTTGCACCGCTTCTTGAACCAATGCTTCCGCAGGAGGTGGATTGAGCTCTGAAGGAGGCAGGAAGCCACCATTGGATCCACTTGCTGAAGCCCCCAACTCCCCGGACTTGGACGAGGGGTCCTTGTTCTTCGGATCTTCACTGGTCTCCTTTTTCACACGAGGTGCTTCCTTGACCGGGCACTCCGACTTCATGTGCTGCGCTGATCCGCAGTTCCAGCAACGACCTTGTTTGGACACCCCCTTCCATTCATGTGGGAAGGAACACTTCTGTCCCTTCTTGCAGCCTGACTCCGAAATGAAGTACCGGCATACCGGTTTGTCACCATGGATCTTGTTGTCCCCCTTGGCGTTCTTGGCCTCAGGCTTGCCGGACTTGGAATCCTTGCCCTCCTTGGAGTCCTTGCTATCGGCTGAATCCTTTGGCTTGTCCCGAGCATCTCGCCTGGGATTGTCCTCCTTGGATCCCTGTGGTTCTCCATCTAGGGCTCTCACCTTGACCGTGTCCTTCACAGGCAACCACGACCCACCATGGAACACCGCCTCGCCCTCCGCCAACAATGACTCTGAGAACTGGTGGATGCTTTGTTCATTTGGTGCCGTGTCCACCCTCAAAGCCGCCCTTGTCACTTGGAGCCTGAAGGCAACTTGAGGTGAATGCTTCCCTGGGTCGGCGGCGAATCGATCCAGAGTGGAAAGCAACAAAACGGGGTCAGGAGGTTGAATGCCCAGCTCTTGAACTCTTGTAAGCCATCGCCTCCACAACCTCAACGCCACCATCCATTCGCTCAAAGGAGACGGCACCTTCTGGTCAACCAACTGCTTCAAAAGAGTGGTACGCTCCCCAAGCCCTCCTGCTTGGTAAACCCTTAGGACCTTGAACATAATGCCAATGGAGCTCACCTCCCGCTGCGCCACCAATTCAGAGCGAAGTGACTCAGGTAGTGCCTTGAGTAGAGCTACAGCTACGGAACCTCGTTGCTCGATCCTCAACCAGGGCGGTGCTTGAAATGCCGGAGGTGACACTGGATTCAATCTCAACCTTTCCATCGGCTCCGACCCCAACCAAACACGGTATAGGGCGCCAGCCACCCTCAGCACCTCATCCCACCACAAAGACGAGCTGGAGCTCATATCTCTGAGAAAAGGACCGATCGTGGTCATCCAGTCTCCCGCCAGTAGAGGTCCCACTTCAGACTCTGACAACTCAGGTAGCGGCGGCAACTCCACTGCACGAACAGATTCTTGTTGTGCCATCAAACCACCAAGCCATGCAGGAACATTTCCACCAGGACCTGGACCAAACATGCCTCCTCCCAACGGTGCTCCAGGAAAGCCTCCTCCAGGTGGACCACCAGGAAACCCTCCGCCGCCCGGAAAACCTCCAGGAAATCCTCCATTCGGGAAACCCCTCCGGCCACCATCCCCAGGATAACCACCAGGACCTCCGTCTCCCTGTTGACCACCAGGACCAGTCGGAAATCCACCTCCCGGATTCCCTCCTCCAAGCGGCAGACCACCGCCAGGATGCCCACCTTCTGTGCCCAGCGGCTGACCCCCTTCGCCTTGTCCACGAGGATCACCAGGAAGACCACCAGGACCCCCCTGAACTGGACCTCCATTTTCACTCCCACCAGATTGCCCTGCTGGAACACCAGAAGGATCACCCCGAAGTTGGTTAGCATCTCGTGGAGGTTCATGAGTCGAAGGCTCTACCCCACTCTGACCCTGGCTTCCTCTTCCAGTGGAACTACCCCCACCTTGTCCAAGACCATCTTGACGAGTGCTAAATGGCCCCTGACTCATTGAACCACGACCCCAATCAGAACTTCCATGTGGTTGCATAGGCCTGGAAAAACCTCCAGTTGACACCAAGTTGAAAAGCTCCATCAAATTCCCACGATGCGCTTGAGTTGGACCACCGAAGAAACCCTGCTCCGGCCGCGACGACATCCAGCCCCCACCATGGTCCATAGGCATCGACAGAGCACCTAGCAGGCCTTTGTCACCTTGAGGGAACGAGGAACCCCACGATGGTTTCATCATGTCCATCAAAGCCCCCAAAGGGTGTCTTCCCTGAGGTTCACCCAGCACCCCACCGAGCATCGACGGCTGGCTACCAAATGGCATCATCTGTTGACCCCATCCTCCTGGACCAGCAGCTTCTCTCTCCGACCACAGCCTCGCATTTTCTTGAAGCAAGCCATGAAACATCAACCTTACAGCATCTGGCGCTTCTCGTGGAGGACTTACTGCGGTCGTTGAAGGCGGTGCCACCTCTGGAATCTCCCTAGGAAGGTGCGAAGGACGGCAGGCTCTCAAAATCGCTTCATCTCTTTGTGTCTCACTCCAAAAGGGATTCACCTGAGCTTGAGGTCCCAAGGTCGTAGGCGGTCCATTAGGTCGAACCAAAGCTCCATGCTCCGGTTGTATGTCTTTGATCGCCCTTGGCCCATTCGATTCAGGTGTCCTTTCGGAGGTATGCTCTGACATGGCTCTAGCACGCAGAGGTAGGTAAGGTTGGGCTCATAACCCACCAAACTCACAAAAGCCGAGTTCCTTTTTCCTTTGACAAGAAAGGGCTTCCGGTCGGTTCACATGCCCTCAACCGCACAAGACAAACTCAAACGTCAAGCAAAGGAGTGGGGTTTCCGCTGTAACAATGTTCGCTACTAGTAACAGGTGCATCGCTACGAGGAACAAGTGCCTTACTAGTAGTAACAATGTTCGCTACTAGTAACAGGTGCAT